TGATATAATCTGGCTCCTCCCTCCCCCTTTTTTTTTTAACTGTCTGCTCTGTGCAAAATGTAAAGAGGCAGGAGTGGCAGCAGAGAGACCATTGTGACAGCCTAATTGAGTGATTATGACAATTTGGCATTGGAAGGGGATATAGAGATTAAATTGAATAATTAAAGCTAGATCTTGAAGATAGAACTGATGTGATTTGCTGATAGATGGGATGTGAGGAGGAAATGAAGTAGGGTTTAAGGAAGAGCGAATTAAGGTTGAGTTTCAGGTTTTTGACTTGAGCCTCTGGGTCAACAGTGGTGCCACTTCCTGAGAATGGAAAAAGTTCAAGAGAAGCAAGTTTAGGAAAATAAATTTGAGATGTCTATTAAACATGTGGGACGTAAAATGAGTAGTTGCATATATGAATGTGAAAATCACAGGAGTCATCAGGGCTAGGGTTATGAAAGTGGGGTTCTTCAGCATTTACATACTATTTAAAATCATGCCATGGATTTAAATTATCCAGGGAAAAAGACTGAGTCCTGGGGCACTTCCACATCTAGATAGGGGTAGAGGATGGAGAACCTGGGGAAGGCAGCCCAAAGCAGGAGGAAAACTAGGTGGAGGCAGTATTTGAAAACCAAGAGGAGAGAGAGTCCAGAGCACAGCGTCAAGTGTGTTGAAATCCTACCAGAAAGCTGAGTAACATGAGAGCAGATACATGTCCACTGGCTTTGACAACGAAGTCTTAGTGACTCAAGATCATTTTCTTTGCAGAAATCAATGTGTGTGGCTAAGTATTTTTAAGTTTTGCTCTGAAGGGAAGTAGGTAGTAATTACAGGGGATGTGAGTTGAGAGAAGACAGAGGGTGTCTGTAAGCTTTTGTGACTGAGCCAATGAAGAGAAAGATACTGATGACTTAGGAGAGAAAGAATTAATTGAAGGAGGGAAGTCCGTGGAGAAGATGGGGATAGGATGGAGGGCATGGGATGTACGCATGCAGAGGTGGTTTGTCTGGGATAAGCTGTTTCTTCCACGGGCACGCGTGCCTCAGGCATACACAGCACACGGTCAGCAGCAGAGGGATTCGGCTGAAATGGAAGGGAAGCTATTTCTGGAGGTGAATAATCGGAAGCTTCTCAAAATAACGAGCCAAGCTCTGACTCAGGTCCCTTCCTGTAGCCCAGCCCAGACCAACACCTAGATGCTGCCGTCTTCCTTACAGCCCCCTCCTTGGGTTTATTTTCAGTCGTTGCTGAATGAAAGCATTTTTACTTGAGGAAAAATTATAAGCATGTTTCTGGCATCCAGTTGTTGCTACAGAAACGAATGTAGCCACACAAACTCAGCACTGTTCTTCATTAGTTCAAGATGGATGGTAAGATGGACTCTGGTGAACAATTCTCCATGAACCACAAATATTTATGCTGATTATCACACTGGAGGCAGCTGATCACAAGCAGCAAGTTGCTTTGTTGTCTTAATGATCTGTATCTTTCTTATGTAAACCAAAAGACTCAGAGAAAGTTAACGCATTTGAAACACTGGACACTGTGTAACACCCATCATATACACAGAAACAAATCTGTGCAAAGGTAAAGCAGGAGATCCTGGAGCAGTCATTCTGTTTTTCTTTTTTCTCGCTACTTCCTTCCCCTCTTTCTCCTCCTCCTCCTTTTCCAGGGCTCCAATATGTATAATCTGTGGAAAATTACTGCTTTTATTCAGAACAAAGTGTCTCACAAATGAGTCCCTCAGAGTGAATAAAAGATGGAACATGGCTGGCATTTCGGAAGCCCAAGGCGTTGGCTGGTTTTGTGGACAGGATGATCTGATCCCACAGAAAGAAGGGCCTCTAAGTTGCTTTCCGTAATTTGGGTGCCTGTGATGTACAAACAGGCAGGAAAAAGAAGAACAATTCCACTCTGTTGAACAAACTGCTGTCCCATCAAAGCAAATGCTAAACATTTCCTACAGTTATGTGTGCAAACAGTCCAATTTACAAGAAAAGATTTTTCCCAAAGGGATATGCTGACCTTTCCAAGTTGAGCTGTTCAGAAAGGGGGGAGAAGGCAGTGTACTCAGATGCCAAGCGTTTCTGACATTTGTGGCAGGAGAAGGACGTCTGTGATCCGCACTTGTTACGGGCACTGCCTAAGTGTGGTTGGGTCTGATTCGTTTTTTTCTTGAGGATTTTCCGTTTTAAAAGTTTTCAGGTAGTTTCTGACTTCCATTTTGGCTCAGTGAGCACTTTTACAAAATTCACTTATCCCCAGTCTTACCAGGCAAATGTGTACAATGAAGCAGCAACCTAGACAGTTAAAAATTATCAGTTTATAGCATCGAATCTTGAAGGAATGTCAACAAACTCCCAATGTTCCTGAAAAAAAAAAAAAACAACAATTAGAAAGTCCAAACAGAATATAACAAGTTTATATCAGATAATTAGTTTTAAACCAATGGAAGGAATCCTCTGCTTTGACTACTGATTCTCCTATAATCATAATGATTATAACAATGATTTCAAAGAATTTTAAAATTAAAAAAGGTTTAAATGCTACTCAAAAAACAGTTTGTGTTAAAAGACTGGAATATTTCAACAGCAGTTAAATTTTGTAAAAGGCGTATCTCTTTCAAAATAATTTTTCAACATACAAAATTCAATATGAAAAAAACAAATAAAAGTGAAGTTCGGGGAACAGGGCACCAGGCCTGGAGACCTCCCTTCTGCTTTTCTCTCATCACCTGCAGTGTTTTCACTGCTGAGAACAGCTCGAAAACCAGTTCACTATATACCAGGTTCTCTGAACACTGCCGGTTCATGTAAGAGCCCCTGTGTGGTAACTCTCAGTTCACTGGAAGAGTAAGTACTCTGGGTCATACCGAAGGACTCCATCCCCTACTGTCCTAAATAAATGAATGCATAATGGAGATGTTTACCTCTGCTCTGTAGGTTTGACTGTGAAAACGACCTCTCCCTCCACCTCCACATACAGAGGCCATGGAGGCACCTGGGATCATGGCTGTGACATGATGCTGTAAAACCCCCAGTCTGGGGCTTTCCTAGTGGACACTATTTAAGGCAGGCATGAGAACTTCCTGCTCCTTGTGGACCCAGAGTTCCTCCCCATGGTAATCTTTTACCTGACTCACCTTCAAAGACATTTTCACTCTTGTTCCTTGAAAGTGACATTTCTGATCAAAGCTATTTGAACAACTGAAAAATTAAACTTTTGCTAGACTAGAGCTTTAATGGACTGGGATATGACAACTATTAAAACTGGACTATTCCTATAATTCAATGGTGCAGTACGGCCCTTCCTCCCCTTCCTTGCGGTCAAATAGCTCAGTGTTTGGAATGGTTCGCCAGCCTCACTTTCTACAGTAAACAATAGGTGCCGGCATTTTAAACTGACCTTTAATTCTTCTGAACCAGCACTATTTCTGGCTTGTTGATTGTATGGAGAAAATGAAAAAAGAAAGCAGTCTTAATAATTTTCACATCGCCTACTGAAAGCAGTAATGGAAAAGTTTTGAAAATGATCACCTATGTACTACCTCACTCCACAAGGGCTCCTTCCAATCAAGGAAGATAGGCAATTATGAGGTTCAATGCACTGCAGAGCTTCAAAAGGAAGAAAAGTCACTTGTGTGCTGTAACTTAAATGGGGCAAGTTAAATATATCTATATTCTTATGCACATCTTAACTTTATTTACCACTACAATAAAATACTGAAGTCAAAAAAATTTTTTAATTTATTTTAGGTGTCAGTGTATCTAATGATGATCTCATTTTTCTCCATAAAATTAGGTAAGCACTCATTTTACTCAGTAATAGTCAACAAGTTTGGAAACTGCACTGCTACATAAATTAAGGATTCAAATTAAGATTTGAATATTTTAACAGATGGAACCAATTACGGGAAGAAGTTAATATCTTACAATGAGCAAAAACTGACCTAAGAAAAAGAAACCATAACAATTTCTCTCCACACACCACCGACTCAGAGCATGTCCTTTGAATTTCCTGTGCATAGAGATGACTTGTTTCTGTGCCTATTTCTCTGAACCAGAACCTGAAAGAGAACCACGAGTCAACTAGAGGATATTCCCAGCTAAAGCTTAGTAAGAAATGGCTAGAAACCATGAAATGTATAAACAAAGTAAGTTTCATGTTTTTGATTCCTTGTTATCTCAGTCCATAAAGTGCACAGTTCAGTTGACGGGCAGCACTTGACTAACTCCATCTATGCCTGCCCATAGTTCTGTTTTACTTCTACTGAGCTTCTAAAACTGGTAATCCTTCACTAAAATGAAGAAAATAAAAAGAGAAACCACAAATTTAGAAGCTGAAGGAGCCAATTTGCTACCATAAAGTGTTTATCAAAGGTATATACCTCCATGACTTCTTTGGGACAGTATACCCAATTCAATACAGGAATTTAGTTTACAGACCAACAGAGGCTAAAAAAAATTCCAGAATTGTTATCCATTTTTTCCACGAGAAAACTCTCTTTCTTCCTAATCATACAGACTATAATTTCTATCCAGTCTTTATTTCTAAATAAAGTAAAATCAAAAGGCAAACAAAAAACAAAATCTCAATATGGAAATCATGACCAAAGCAGACTTCAATACTTGTCCACTATCAGGGAAAAGCAGTAAAATTTATTGTGCTAAAGGAGATATTACCCTTTAGGAACCCCAAATTTAGAGAAATCATTCCCATAATAACTAAAAATAAATATATACAAATGAGAGAAGAGAATTCACTTATTATTAAAAATCTGAGTCTAATTCTATTTAATTGGGAGTTTATTGACAAAAACTCTCTAATAAACATGGTAACTAAAAATAAAGCTTGGGGCTACACAGGGAAGCTTTTTACCAAAGTTAAATTTCAACCAATTTTACAACTGCATTTAGTCTGGAAGCTCAGGCTAAGGACTTAGGGAACTCATTGTATAGTTTGTGATTTTACTGAGATATCACTTTAATTCAAATAAATTCATGGTATTTGGGCTGTAGAATATCTATGACATTTAAGAACCCCACAAAATGTTAATTCTGGGCAACAACTTTGAAGAAAGTAAAATCTTAAAGAATTCTAAAGCCATAGAAAGTCAGGCTGGATATATTTTAATTGTGGAGACAAAATTAATGAGATTATAAACTATCAAATCTACATTTTTTCCCTATGAACACAGTATGTATCTATTTCCTTAAAACTATTGTGGAGCTAGTCAACATTTAAAAATAAAAGTATTATTTCTCTATCTTGGTTTCTAATTTAATGAATCAGTAATTTATCTTAGCCAACAACATAGGTAACCTGCATTATGCTGGATATATAAAACTGATATAGAAATCATCTAAAAGCTTTGAAATAGTAGAACTGAAGGCTTTATGCATTTGTAAATTAATGGCTTTTGTAGGAAAGGAACTAAGGTACTTAAAGATACCATAACATCTTAAAACCTACAAGGAAGGGGAAAAATTACTAATACTAGTTTTTAAAACTCATGAGTTATAATAATGTAAAATAAATTTGCCATTTTAGCTGACTTTCAATATGTTTATACATGCAATATAAATTACAAATATGTATAACATTACACCTTCTAAAAGAAAACAATGATGTACAAAATGGTTATGATAAATAAAATTATTGCATTTAATGTCATTTTCTTGAAAGCCAAAATCCTTAACGTTGTATCAAACATAAACAATGTCATTTCAAATTAGAGGAAATGTATGCCAACACCAGCTCCTGACAACAGAAAAAAAGCAGCTAAAGCCCTGCAATTTTGTCTGATTTAGGTCAGGGAATCATGGAAACAAAAGAATATTTAAAAGTATTTATTTTATCATTATGCACATTGAAGGAAAGCATTATAGACAGCAGAGTCCTTTCCCACCATAAAATTATTTATACCCATTTATTCAGCTAGCAACACTAGCCTGAAGAGGTACTGATATATTCCATTTGTAATAATTTCTCTACAGCAAACAATTGTCTTACAGTTGGAGCACAATGAAGAAAATATTGTCTCATAAGTCTTTTTTCTTCTTTTGCGTCTCAATCGCTAAGAGTTCAAGGGACTTTGAGAGCATCCTGGTGCCCTGGGTGGCCTGGTGAATGCATTAAAGTCAAGCAGCATATGTGTACTCTGAAAATACTCTTAGACCCACACAAACGTTGCTTGGCTGGTGGAGCCGGCATTTCTCGCACTGGCACTATGACATGTGAAGAACACTTGTTATGACAGTTTCACACCAATTTTGTTCTGTTCCTTCTTCATTAGCCGCTGTGCTTCCTTTTCCATCTTCTTCCTTTGCTGCTCTGCTGCTCTCTTTTCTCTGTCTGCTATCTTCTGCTGCCTGAAGAGAAACATATTCCTATTTTTACATTTAGAAAACACCACGCAGGTAAAAGTAAAATGGCAAATAAATTCCAGAAAGAAACAGCACTGCCTTTTTACTATCATCAAATGTAAGTTTAAAAAGTCTTCATTCGTCTCACTGCTTTGAAAATTTCAAAGGTTTTCAAAAACAGTATTTCTTTTAATCCTTAGAATACAACTTACAAAATAAAAAAGGTATTATCTCCGTTTTAAAAGTAAGTAAAATGGGGCATTCAGGCTAAGTGAATTGCCCAAAGTTGTAAGATTAAGCACAAGGATAAGAACTCACATACTCTGACCCCTTCTTCAGACTATTTTCACTGAAACATGACTTCCATTGGACTACACCTTCTTTCTGACACCATTCAGAAAAGCCTCATATTTATGATTAAATCTTCTATTATTGTAAGAGTTAAAAACAGGCAGCTAAAGGATGTCAAGAATACAGATGTGCAGAACACAAAGCACAAAGAAAATGGGAACTTAAGACATGCTTTCCAACTAGAAGCTAGAAATCAATGTAAGGATTAACATCTGACCAGCTCTACTAATAAAGAGGCAAAATGGTGGGCACTTGCTAATTACACATTAGGAAATACCGCCCTCCAGTCCCTCTCTAACTCCACTGATCTACAATCACTAAAACTCTCTATCTTTATTGATTGCTTTGTATGAGTAGGAGTAGAAATGAGATGATGAAATAGGAAAAAGGAAAGGAATAGAAGTTAGTCATAGGTCTGAAGGTTCAGGTTATGAGAAAATAAGAACAAGCATGCAAGGGTGAGGAAGAAAGCTGTAGTAGGTCACAGGTGGGCAAAGGATAGGCAACACACTGGGTTATATACAGAAAAATCCAGTATGGATTACCCACATTTGGGACAGCTCAAAGCTGGGTATAGTGAGTGAAATATACATACAATTCTCAATCATACTTAAAAACAGGAGTAAGCACTGTTGGTGGGAATATAAATTGGTGCAGCCACTATGAAAAACAGTATGGAGACTCCTTAAAAAACTAAATACAGAGTTACCATATGATCCGGCAATCCAGGCATATATCTGAGGAAAACAGTACTTCGAAAAGATATATGTACCACAAATATTCACAGAACTATACACAACAGCCAAGACATAGAAGCAACCTAAATGTCCATTGACAAATGAATGGATAAACAAGACATGATACACACACACACACAC